AATGACTCAATGTTACAAGCTCAGGAATGTTTACATATAGAGTCAGTAAGGCTTTCTTAGAATGTACCTATCTCACAATTGGACATTAACCTGGAAAGGTGAGGCCAGTATATGACTCTGAACATATTATTTAAACAAAAACACGTCAGTAAGTATTAATGGCCGATGCTGTGAAGTGGTTAGCCCTTTTCCATCCTCTATCAAAAAATCATCCAGACATTATCACAAGGCTCTATTTACCTACTGCGTATGGAACAATTGATTTACCAAGGCTTTGCCTTTAACCCCCCTCATCCCCATAGACCCCCTGGGGGCTTTACCAGTTCTATTATTTATAAGGATTTTTGGCCAGAGAGTAGCAATGGGGGCACGATGTACTACTGGGTAGTTCCGCTTTTTATTGTGGATGATAATAGAAATCTTTGGGGATTTACTCATGTTTTGAAGAATGCCGCTCACGTTTCATAAAGCTTGGATTGCTTTTATATCCTTGATCTCCTCAACACAAGTTATTACAGTACGACCCTAGAACATGAAAACACATGGATTTACATAATATTTATTGAGGATGTGGTATGGCTATTTAGCTAATGTTTGTGAATATGTAATCCATATAAATACATTTCTATCTAAATATATGGTTACAGCCATAAGACTACAAGCTGGCCAAATTATGGCTAATATCTGCCTTACCACTTGAAACGATATATATTCCCTTTTTTGAAGCCAGATGTTATCCTGAGTGGAATAGTGTGTATTTTATAATGAAATTTAAATATATAGGTTTAAACAGAGCTATAGGTGCCTGGGATATTCCATATTCCAAAACAGAGTTTTCAACTGACTTTTGGGGACGTTATCTCATTTAATTGAATAACTTGATGAAAACCCTGGCTACCTGTTGATAGATTACTGACTATATTCTTTTTGAATATTTTGGCGGCTTCTCGAAAGATGCTTAAACTCGTTTTTTGCAGGTCCATTAGATGTTTGAAAAGTCTTGATTATATTTGTTGTTTTTAAAGCAACATAGGACACCGCTTGGTTTCCCCAAAGGCATGTTAGTGTTTTATATTATTTTTTATATTAACATATAGCTACAAACATGAGCTATACATGTTTCCCTTTAATATGTTTTTATAATTTAATATGTTGAGCTACATATTCTGGGGATAGAGTTACTAAGCTGCTGATATTTGATATAGAAGTAGCGGCTTATTCACTTTACTGTGTTTTTTTTTCGCAACACCGAACGTTTTGACACTTGTTTACAGAAATGAAAGAGACGTTTTCACTCCGTGTGCCTTTAGCTGTTGCCATTAGGTGGTTTACAGATAATAATGGCGATATTTTGGCGTATGGTAGAGTATATTGGGCAGCAGCAGTTATGTCGGTCTCTGCTGTCAGCGCACAGCTCACATCTTCTGGTTAATGCCGCACGTACCGTGATGTTTAATTGTTATTTTAACAACACATAAATCACCTGTATGCTATGAAATGAAACCATTTTATCTGTAACCAATCATGTCCGCTATAAACTGCAGGGAATTACTCTCTTTATTAAAGAAAGAAAAAGACGATGTGCCAAATGTACCTTTCTGTTATAGAGGCCTGTCTTGGTTTTTGTTTGTCTTGGTTCTTTCCATATGCTCCTTGTCTTTTAAAGGGTCACTGTCATTAAAAATATATACAGTGTGTTTCAGAACAAGGCTACATTTTTACTTGCTAATGCCTTGCGGCCAGTGATTTTGATCCCTGTTAATATAATCTCTGTTAGAGAATGCCATTTTTTTTATGTATATTGAAATGTATGAAGAAATCACATGTGTACCTTCCCGTTCCCCCTTTCTGACGCCCATCTTTATACACCTTGCGTCAGACTGTCCCTGATCCCAGCCAGTTCTCACTATTTTGCAACCTATACATAGCTTTTGAAAATTGCCTTACAGAAAAGTCTGCAAGCAGAAAGAGCACACGCCGGTTACACATTGGGTTTGGATGAGTCTCACCCAAGGTAGGCTTGTTATTTTATTTAATTTTTAATTTATTTAAAAATTAAATTCTACATAAGTAAGAAATAGTATTACTATAACATAAAGACTGTGTTATGATTTACATTTTTTTTATGACAGTTATGCGTTAATGATTTGACTCCATACTCCTCTTTTTATTATCATTTTTATCTTGCGCTGGATTGCAATATCTGGGTGCCGCCATTTTGTTCTGCTCTGCCCATGATGTCTGCAGTTGCCCGTCTATGGAATTATTTTAATTGATGGATTGTGGGTAAATTACCTTGGCAACTGAAACGGAAACCAGCTTAGTCTCCGCCAATCGTCAGCGCTAAATAGCTAGTCTCTACTTTATCTCTGCCCCGCTAAAAAGACAAAGGAAGTTAAAGCAAAATAAATGGGAAAGGAAATACGAGAAAAACAGGATTAATTTGGAAAATAAAAACTCTGCAAAGTCAGAGTGCTGTCTAAAATGGTGGGGAAACAATGGCAGGCAATTTAATTGTGTGAAAATCATGTAACTACATCGTCCTGTCCAGATTGGGTACAAATATAGCAAGCGATGTATTTATTTTTATTCTCCATCCACAAATATCTACTGTTTGCACTGGAGGATGGGGATTCGTTAAATATCTGATAGTTTGATAAGTATGTTATAGAGGATTTATTTAGATTAAAAGGGGAATAAATATTTAATGATCTATATATATTTCAATTTTTGGGGGAGCATTTTTCCTGTGGAGTCTTGGGAAAGAATCCTGGTTTTCTGTAGATTTTACATCTAGCATTAGTACAGGTTAAATAGCAATTTTTGGGTGCTGTACCAATCCCATCCTTTTTTGTGTTTACAAAGAGCAGGTGACAATATACAGTGCCTGTATTAATGTCCAGGTTATTAAAGGACCTGCACTCTAAATGTGCTTTAAAACACGAATGCATCTTTGTAGGATAGAAATACCCCTATTTTAGTTTACAAAACCCTTTTACCCTTTTATAGATTCCTGTTAGGAATGTGAAATTGTAATAGCTGAGAAAACGTTGCATCAGCCATTGCCATGTAAGTTATCATACAGACCCAAGTGACCCAATAAAACTAGAATTGTTACAGATTATGGAACCCAGACTGGGCTCAGGCTCTGCTAACTGTAACCCTGCTCCATGTACCTGTGCCGCCTCTTCTCACATTTCGGTGCAGTCCGATGCATCCAATAGAGAAGCACCGGGGATCTATGGCTCATGTGCAGCCGTTGGCAATATTCTCCAATCAGAGCACTGACTCGGCCAATTCTAGGAGAATCTTTGGCAGCGCTCTGTGCGATGACGCTCTATTGACTGTCTGTCTGTTTTTACCCAAATGTAAATGTTGCTGTTTCTATGAAACCTAAATGTTTTTTATTGCCAGATTCCAGCGACAGGGTCTGTGTGCTAAAACCACATCATGAAGATGACAGCGACCCTTTAATGTGCAATGGCTACGTAGGTGACAGTGTAGTATAGGGGTTAATGTTTAGTGTATTCTAGTAAACTCCTCCAATTTAATCCCTACACTACCAGAAGGGCAGCATCCTAACACGTGCATGCTACAGTGCTGCCTGAGATTTGTTGGATTTACAGTACTGTGACAGCTATTTCAGGTATTGTTATTAAAATTGCAACAAGTACAGCTCAGGAATGCAGCCGCCAACTAATGTTTAGTAAACTAGGACCTCATTGTCCCAGCGTTCCCAAAATTGGGGCCTCCTGCCTGCTTTATTACTCGGTCATTACTGGGAATAATTGCTCAATGATATCGCTATCTGTGCAGTATGGCATTTAAAATCAGAGTCTGCCACTGAAATAATAACCAACAAATAATAACCAATTTCTGATTACTAGTCTCCATTTTTGTTTATCGCAATCCCATCATGCTATAATGAGCTGGAGAAAGTACAAGGTCAGATATTGCAGAGGTAATAACATCCCTTATAAATATAATGTTTCACACACTTTTACCATGTATGAATCTCGTTTGAAGACTTGTTTTTAATGAGAATACACTTTTCGATGTGTCACTTTGCTGTTACAGTTCTGTGACATGCACCAGGCTCCACCCTGCCTTGAATGCTTGACTCAGTACCATAACCACTTTGTAACTGTTCTGCAAAGAGGCCGAGGGTAAGAGTTCAGGTGTTCCCAAACAGAAAAGAGACATTAAACCAGGAAGCAGCAGGGAAGACTGTGAAATGCAGAGACTTAATTTGCAGTTTAGCTACAGATGTGCAACTCCATAGCAGCTGTTCCCTACCCTGTACATACGAGCATGTAAATATAGAGAGTTTATATCTGTAAATGGGAATGTACATATAATCTGTATCAATAAAATGGCTCCTTTTCCCCACCGTTGTGTGAATTTTTTCGGAGGTTTTCACGTTTATGTATATATTTATTTTCTATATAAATCGTAAGCTGCCCTGTCTATTTAGGTGTATTTATGCATATTTGTATTGGGACTATATCTAAAAGCAAATTGCATAGATCTCTTGTCTGCAGCATTTATAACCCCCCCACCCCCCTACAGACTACCCAATGCAGCTCAATTAGAAGTCTTTGCAAGACAGGTGCTCTGGGCAATTGCTGCCTCTTGCATTTATCTCCACTGAGCTAACCAAACCAGGAAGTAATTTAGGAAGTAACAGGACTGGCTTCTGATTGACAGGTAGGGGGAGTGGGTCTAATAAGGTTCATTTATAAAAGTGTAAAGTTCTATTGAAATCTGCACTTTTTGCAAAATGAAAAAAGAGGTCAAACTCTTATAAAGTACTTCAGCAAGCTAAACTGATTTTTAGGTCTGGAGTGTCCCTTTAAAGATTGTGAAACCTTTCGACATTTTAGGGGCATGTAATCAAAATAATATTAAATAAAGATTTGGATACTTGCAGTAATGCCTAACATTTCACTGAGCGCCAATTTTGAAGGAACGTTTTGTGATGATTTTTGCCCAGTCATGTTCTTCGAGTTATCCAGCTGTGGTTGTATTTCTGATCTCACCACCAGCAACGATAAATTGATCGGAAATGATGGCGGTGTATTGGAGTTGAAATATGGCATAAGATTGCATTTGGTTAAGAAATGACATTTACGTGAACAGATTCAGATATTGTCTAATCCCATTGTGTGACATTGTAGTATTTGTTAATGTTTCCGTGTTTTGCGCACAGCATGCTTACTTCAATCGCTTTTTCCTTGGACAAAGGTTGCTGTCCATTCGGTATCCATGAATCACGGCCGCACTGGCAACGAACTGGTGCAAAGAGGCTTCACTTTGTATATTTTTCGCATTCCTATTACTAGGAATTGACAGGAGCATGAAATACACAATCCGGCTGGGAAAACAAAGCAATAATTTACAGAAATAAAACTGTTAAATAAAACAAGCACAGTGCTCTCTTGGCTTGCATAGCATTTAGCAATTTTATACAGCACTAGTTTATTGATCAAAGCTGCTACCCGCTTCTCTCTCCACCCTGCTTTTTACCCAGTCCTTCATCTTTTTTGCAAACCCCTGAGCTTATTTGGAAATGTGGAGGGGGGTTTTCAGAAATTGTCCCCTGGTGACCAGCGAGTCTTTACCAGGCTGGAAAAAATAAAAGATCTTTTACTGGATGTTTTATGTCTTTCTGTGTATCACGCAGACTATATTAGTCACAATTTAATTGTGATTCATAAAAGTCTCTCATACTGTATGGAAAGAGATTGCAGGAGAAAAACAATACTTTTATTGTTAAACAGGTGCCACTGCCATATTCTACAGAAAGAGTGAAGTTAGAACAACAGAAGCTGATGTTGGAGTAAGGTTCTTCTCATAACTCTCAGGCAGCCTTTCGGCATTGGATTGGCTTGCTGGTTTTTTAATTGATGTTTTCAGGGAGGAGATGTGAATTGTGTACAATGGGGACTAGAGCAGCCTTTTAGTTAAGGTCACTGTGCTTTGGATCTAAGTTAAAAGGAAGAATAACTGACTGATAGGAGTGGAATTAAAAGGTCAGGCAAATCAGTAAGTGCACTGAATGCCTAAAAAGTTTCCTTATAGACATGTATTCAATAACTCTCAACTCTCCATGCAAATTATTCTGAGGAAACGAGCACAAATCATGTTAAATCAGTATGTTCTCCAGTAAGAGCTCTTGGCAAATATCATTTATACACAAAGTGTTTGTCTTCAAGGAAGCTTCAGATTTGCAGTACAGCACGCTTCCACATGAGGGAAGCGTGCTGTACTGCAAATGTGTCAGAAACTCGTCCAGATTCAGTAAATCAAGGAGCTGGAAAGACCGTTTTTGTTGAGCCCTTTAGGGTCCAAAGACCCTGTGGCAAACCTAGCCACTTGGACAATATTAAGGGTTGCCTGTATGGTTGTGGGGATATATGTGTGCCTAGGTGTAATGTATGCTGGCTGTATAACCTTGTAATACCTGTATTGGCTATCTGCCGAAAGCAGATAGCTGTATTCCATTTCGTTTCACGAACGGCCCGCAAAGGAACCGAAATAACCACCCTGTAATAGCCCACACATTTAGAGACGTGTGGCGCTTGTTAACCAATTGCAACAATGTTGCAATCGGTAATTAGAGGCTACTCGATGGCGCGAACACCGCTGAACTTCCAGGCCGTTCAGGAGTTCCGGGCCGTTCAGTATTTTATTCCCTATACATCAACCGGTCTTTTGAATGTGTGTTTTAATGAATATGTTTTTCGTGCGGCGTTCAGTTGTTTTAGCTGGGATCTGAGCGGTAAGCTCACGAATGATGCGCTCAGACCCCAGCTATCTACCGAACATCCATTCGTGCAAATAGACCTAATAGTCGAAAAACGGTGTATTTTAAAGTAAATTGCCGGTTCTGCTGCACGGAGGGATAATCCAGTTAACAGTATATTCCAGTGGGAGGATCCCTCTCGTGCAGCAGTGCCTGATGGGGGAAAGGCTCTGTAATGTAAGTTCCCCATATAGTCCACTCTGGGAATACCCCTGGGATAGGACTCAGGAAACCCCTTGCATGGGGAATTGTATAAATTGTGGAGCCTGTGAATAAAGCCTGCAGTTGACTCTCAGAACTGTGTTTCGTCCGGTTACTGGGAGATTTGGGATATTGCCTTGCTTTTCAGCCCTTGACTGTGGATTACCTTCTGAACCAGCGGAGATCGTGGGATTTAATATTGCCGCTCCGCTACAGACCCCTTGAGTTTATTTATTTTGCGCTTATATGATAAGGAAACACAGAGAAATTCTGTGACAGCTCTGTATGAGATCTGGTTTAACAAGTGATATCACTAGCTGACTTAGAAGGTTAGAGTTGTATTTAGTACATTCGAAAGTATGATACAGAGTATAGAGTTAACCAAAATAAATGTGGCTTAACCCAGATCCAAAACCTGGATGATAAATGATTCTAATCCCAGAACCCAGTGCAGCTAAAACGATCACTTGAGGCTGTGTGATCTTCATTGCTGATAGAGAAGGGATTGAAATAGGAAAATTCCAATCCAATTCTCCATTTAAAGAAAGTGGGAGAACCATGTAAACTATAGTGGGACCAAGCAAACTGGAACCGAACGATGTATGGTGTAATGGCACCCCCAGACATAAAAGGGTTAAACCGCAGTTTAGAAGATCTTCCCCTTCCAGAGACACAGGCACAGCTACTGTAGACACCAATCCACCGAACCGAAGAACCATACGAATGCTCTCAAACATTCGAATGCTGTAAACAGTCGAATAGGAAAAACCATACAAAAGGTTTACACTCCTAGCAGTCGAACTGGAACAGCATACAATACATCCCCCCAAAAATGAGACATGGCTCTGTGTTGAGGGTCAAAACAGGAACAGACAGAGCTGTGGGTTTATTGGTCTTATATACACATTCTTACACATTAGTACCACCCACAGGGTTTTGTAAAACAACCAATAAACACGTACAATACACTCAGACACTCCCACACAAAATCCTCCCCTCTGCCTGTGATACAATTACCTTACACAATGGGTTGTTTATAACTTTAAAAGTAAAGTTCACATTTTCAGAATCAGCATACTCCAAATACAAACCTATGTCAAAATCATACAAATTGGTCCAGTGGTTCACAAGATAGATCGTAGTCCTTTGTGACCAAATGAAGCGTGGCTTTTCTGCCCAAAACCAGTTCCACAGAGTCTTCTATCCTGGAGATAATTGGGAAGTAATCCAATTATCTCCAAGGACAGTGGCAAAACTCCATTGAACACATGGTAGCAAAAGACAATAAAATACATAAAAATATATAACTGTGCAACTATTGCATAAAACAGGTACATTCAGCATATCCCCAGATAGCTTAGATCTGAGCGCACATTATTACTGAATGGCGCTCAGATCACATACATACAGTTCAATTGCCACGGAGCCAAAGTCTTTCACATGGTCTTTCATTATACGAATGAGCTCCATGGCATAGCTATCTGGGGTATCACTGTTCAAATAGGGCAAGTACCGAATGACCCAGTTTTTGTGTCTTTGCAGGGGAAAATCAAGCATTTCAACATGGGGCCATAGTCTAAAGGCAGCAGGCGGGCAACCAGGCTTCTCCAATGCGTCACATACGGAAACTGGAACCGAACGATGTACGGAAATTGGATCCGAATGATGTAATGAAACTGGAACCGAATGATGTAATGAAACTGGAACCGAACTTCCAGCGCCCCCTCCCCTTTCCTAGATACTTTGCTTTCCAAATCCCCATTTTTATCCATATTTCACACTTTCAGTGGTTTTCAGGGAATTTAGTCACCTGGCTCACGCAGGGTTATCCACCAAAGTAAGAATTTAAGGTCAAAATAAAGTCAGCTATGCTTTCAGTACTGCTACTCTGAGCTTTAATGGGACATTCACTCTGAATTATCAGTTTCCATTCACCTTTTATACTTTTACAATGTAATGCCCATGGGCTGGTTCCTGGCTTTGTTTAGTCAGTAACCCTGTGTGCTTTCATTCATGAACTGAGGGGAACTGACACACATCCCAGTATTTAGGCAAAAAGAGTTTTTGGAAATACAAATTATGACATTTAAGGGGTATTTACTTGACTCTTTCACAAACAATGAATGCATCCTCTTAGCGATTTATTTGCTAAATTTAGATTTGTGGAAAAAAGTTTTTGCCTAAAACGTGAATGGTCCACAATTTCCACTTATATTAAATAAACCCCTTAGATCCCATAATGTGTAGCAATGTGCCCACCAGCACTACTGTCAACCATAGAACCATTTGTCTTTTGTCTCATTTATATTCTGTATATTAATCACTTGATATTATATCATTGTAAAGCGCTGCAGAATATGTTGGCGCTATATAAATGCTTATAATAGTAACCACAGGTAGAATAATCCTTATAGATCCTGTGTGATCTTATCAGTATTTCTTATGTATCATCAGGGTAGGAAGGGGAAATGGCAAATCATTAAAAATCCACACTTCACTTCAACCTGCAGTCTGATGTCTTTCTATAACAAGAAATGGGCTTTCACTATTATCAATGTCTCCTACAGACTGCTCTCATGTACAGGACATCACAAGTGCAAAACATCCTTTCACGCGATGCCTCCCACTACGTGATTAACATTTATTTCCCATCATATGCTGGAGTTTAATGCAGACAAAATGCGAAATGACAAACATCCAGCAGATGGGAGATGAATTCTGTCCATTAATTCTGTTTACCAATGTCACAACCATGCTGAAAGGGTCGTAATGTGCGTAGCGCCCAGTGATGTATCCTCTGGTCACAAAATAATTTCTAAAGGTTGTTTGTAAAAGCGAATCCTACTTTTAAGATGAAATATTATTATGGAGCGAGGGCATTGGCAATTTTAAAACATTGATGGGCGAGACACGCGTTTGACTATCACAGATGCCGCGATGCGTGAACTTCTGACTATCTGTAGTTCATTTACGAAATGCCGTCATTAAGTTTAATGTATTTTTAATACGAATACTGGCAATAGGTGCGCGCTAATCCCTTTACAGAGATCAGACTCTGTGTTCTCACACGTTCTATAGAACATTCTAACATCTCATTCATTGAAATATCCTGGACAAATCCTACATTAATGGTTCTAATGAAATTCAATCTCAAATTAAAAAGTGATTGTTCGTTTTAACGGGAAATATGCCATGCGTGAGATGTCGAGAGTAGGGGGGGAGGGGGAAGTAGCAAACACAATCTATATATGTTATGTAAACAGAATGTTTGTGAAATGTACATCTGTTGGTTTCTTTCTTAAAGAGTAACTCTCTTACCATAACCACTAAAGCTCAGTGCTCTAACCTCGTTCCCCAGTACAGGGGGCAAATCATTTCAAAATGGCTTGCCCTGTTACCTGGGTCCCTGCAGGGATTCAAGGCTTCATTCCTCTCTGGTGACGGGGCTTCCAGCTTCTGCAACCCTGCCAATCCATTGATCCAAATTCTCTCCGCCAATGAATGGCACGTTGTGCATGAACATTTGACTCTATTTACTTGACTCTTACAGAGCAAAAGGCTGCACCTACAGACTCCACGCACTTTGACCACTTCAAATCACTGAAGTGGCCACGGTGCTTGGAGTAACATCTAAAAATATATCTGTAATTATGTTTGGAAAATCCAATTTCTGTAATGGAAGAATTGCCAACATGAGTCAACCTTCGAAGGATTCTCATTGCTGATTGGCTGCTATTTCGGGCTTTTAATGCTGATTGGCTGCAAAGAGGGCTGATAACAAGGGCCGGCCTGTTCATAGACCGTGCTGGAGCCATGGCTCCAGGCGGCACTCTGTCATAATCTAAAACAGGACCGCCGCCAAGGGTTGGGAACCTGTGTGAGGGTCCATCAGGTGGCCCATGCCCTTAGGGCCACCAAATGGTGCAATGAGGGGCCCGGTCGTCTGCTGCAGTGCTTTAACAGCAGGACCGGGCCCCTTCCTATCCGCATGGAGAGCTGGGGGGAAGTGACAGAGCAAGCCGCACGGGAGGAGGAGGGAGCAGCGAGGATGGGGCCAGATCGGCAGAGCAGGCCCCCAACTCCCACCAGCCACAGGCAGCAGCAGGTAAGAACCTGTTGGTTGGCTTAATTTTTTTATGTGTGTGTGTGTGTGTGTATCTGTGTATTTGTATGTGTAGTGTGGTTATTTGTACATAGTGTGGGTATCTGTGTGTTTGGATGTGTGTAGTGTGGGTATATGTGTGTTTGTATGTGTGTAGTGTTTGTAGTGTGTGTGTGTGTCTGTGTGTGTAGTGTGTTTGTGTATACTGTATGTGTGTAATGTGTATCTGTGTGTGAAGTGTATGTATCTGTATGTCTGTGTAAATGCATGTGTGGCAGTGTGTGTATGTATGTCTGTGTATCTGCAAGTGTATCAATGTGTCTGTACATCTGTATGTGTGTCAGTATCTGCATACGTGTCAGTTTTTTTTTTTCCATTTAAAGATTTTTATTGGTTTTCATCTTGGCAATGCCGTAAACACAAACATGACATGGGGGAGGGGACGGGGTACAGAACGAAAGCGGGGGGGGGGGGAAAGGGGGTCCATACCAAGTTTTTTACATCAATGTTTACATTCACAATGTATAATTTTTGAGATCTCCGGGTGTGTCATTTTCCTACATACATTTTCTAAGTTCTAAGTTCGTACGTCTGACCACTTCTACATTTGTCCCTAACATGGTGTATTGTCGTTCGCTTGTCTATCGTTATCTGGTGATCGACCCTGGGAGTCGAGTGCGTCTAGTAGTTCAGCCGTCGGGTGTGTCTCCCGTTCCCCTCACTTCCCACAGCCTCCATGCTTCAACTGCTGTGTCTGTTAAGGGAAGGACCCCTCGGTAGCGGGTTTCATATAGGTGTTGTGTATCAATGTCCCTGCAGACCTCTGCCACCAGTGGTGGTCGTTGAGATTTCCACAACCTAGCTATTGCCCTCTGAGCTGTCAAGAGGATGTGGAAAGCTAATTTCTGTATCCCTTTAGGTATATTGCTTGGCATGTGTAGTAGGAGACTTGTTATGGGTGTGGAGGGGAGCTTGGTGCCTGTTGCGGCTCGAATCAGGCAGTGTATGTTGCGCCAGAAGCTGGTGACTAGTTCACATTGCCACCATATATGAAGTACTGTACCCTCTCCCTTTCCGCATCTCCAGCACTCCGGGGATGAACCTGGGTATAGTTTGTGTAAGCGAGTGGGGACCATGTACCACCTATATAGGGTCTTCCTATATTGCTCCAACAGCACCTCCGACTTAATTAGTTTTTTGGTCGTCACTATAGCCCGCTCCCACTGATCTTTACTTATGTGGCATTGTAGGTCTTGTGCCCAGTGCTTGGCTGGATTAGAATCTGCAAAATGTTGTGTGGGTCGGATGAGTTGATAACACCAGGATAGTGGCTTAAAAGTCGGTGCCCATGAACCTCTAGTGGTTGTTTGTTCCCATTTCGTCATACCGAGGGGGTTATCATCTGGGGCAGAGGACTGCCCTGTGTGTTTTCGTATGAATGAGCTTAACTGTATATGAGAGAATTGGGAGGCCTTTGGTATGTGGAATTCCTTTTGGAGAGTTGGAAAGGTTTTTAGTTTGTTATGCGCAAGTATTTGGTGCAAATGTGTGACCCCTTTAGCTATCCATGGCTTAGCGTTAAAGGTTGGGATGCAGTATGTGATAGTGTTGAGCGGGGTGGCTGGCGATAGAGGGGTAGGTGTTACCAGTTTATGTCTAAGCTTGTCCCAAGCCCTGACTGCTATTTTTAGCTGCGATGGCATCTGTGGAGTTTCTGGTCGAAATTTTTTAGGGAGCCACATTATGGTGGGTACATCAAAGGGTTTTATGGCCTGTTTTTCCATGAGCACCCATTGCGGTAAAGCCGTGTTTGTGAAGTGGGGAAGGGTTGTTGCTAATAGCGCTGCTTGGTAATATGTCTTGATGTCCGGTAAGGCAAGGCCACCCTGTCTCACCGGTGTTTGTAGCAGTATTCTCTGCACTCGAGCTTTTTGGCCCCACCACACAAATCTATTAACGTCTTTTTGTGTGTCTCTAAGGTAGGACATAGGTACCTGAATTGGTAAGTTTCTGAACAGGTATTGAAGCCTCGGGAGTATGGACATCTTAACTGTTGCTACTCTCTCTGTCCATGTCAGAAACAGGGTGCTCCATTTTTTCATTAGTTGGCGGCAGTCTCCCCACACTCTGACATAGTTGGCAGGGAAGGTTTCTGTAGGGTTTTTTGTGAAGGTCAGTCCTAAGTATTTTATCGTGTCTGCCCTCCATTCAAAATTGTGGTCTTTTTTAAGTGCGGTGAGTGTTTGTTGGTTGAGCCGCACTCCCAGTGCTTGTGTCTTGCTGGCATTAAGGGAATAGTAGGACAACGTCCCATATTCTTTTATGAGGTCTAAGATGAGTGGGAGCGATTGCTCTGGTTTAGAAACACAGAGGAGTATGTCATCCGCAAATGCACTAATTTTAACTTCCCTGCCATGTACCTCAATTCCGCGGATACCCTCTCGCTGCCTAATTTGAACTAGTAGTGGTTCCAGGGCTAGGACGTATAGTAGCGGCGACAGGGGGCATCCCTGCCTCGTACCATTCGTTAGAGGGAATGGGTCAGAGAGAAAGCCGGCTTGCAGTACCCGGGCGGTGGGACCTGCGTATAAAGCAAAGATCTGTTTGATAAATATTGCGGGGATGTCATACTTTAGGAGCGTATGTTCGAGAAATGCCCAATTCAGCCTGTCAAACGCCTTTTCGGCGTCAAGGGCTAGTAGAAGCCCGCCGTGACCCGATCCCCTCATCTTCTCTAACACTAAGGAGAGCTTTCTGGTATTGTCTCTACCCTGCCTACTTTTAACAAAGCCTGTCTGGTCGTCCCCTATGATAGTTGGAAGGATGTATGCTAGTCTGTTGGCCAGTGTTTTGGCATATATCTTTGCATCAGTGTTGAGGAGGGAGATGGGTCGGAAATTTTTGCAATTGTCCGTAGGCTTGTCAGGTTTCGGAAGTGTCACTACCGTGGCCACCAGCATTTCAGGAGGAAGGGAGCCAGTCTCCGTCGCTCTATGGTATACTTTGAGCAAGTGTGGGGTTAGTATGTCAATGAA